TGGAGGAAATGTCTTGAAGCATCAGGCATAGCAGGAGCAATTCTAATGGATTTATCTAAGGCCTACGACTGCCTGCCTCATGACCTCCTAGTCGCAAAACTGGAGACGCATGTATTTGATTTCAATAGTCTTTGTCTAAAGTAAAGCTATCTGGATTGCTGCCATCAAAGGTTAAAGATTGTTTGACATGAAAATGCTGCAAAAAGAATAAAAAGTGAAGTACCACAGGGGTCCATCGTAGGTCCTTTGCTCTTTAAAATATTCATCAATGATCTATGTCTCATATCACTAGACTCAGTGATCTGTAATTTCACAGATGATAACACCATATACTCATGAGGGCTAGATCTACATGGAATTGTCATCAATTCGGAAAGTGAACTAAGAAGATTGCTAGAAAAGTTTACAAATAATGGCATGGTAGGAGGGCTATTGAACAATAGTATGCTGATAGCTGCTTTCTGGTTTATTTTTAAATTGCAGTCGCCTTGAACATTTTCTTTTGACAAGCTGATATTGTATTCTGGCATTTATTATGGCTCGATTATGTCATTTTTGTCAATTTGTTAATGTCTGAAAGATGAGCACCAGCAGATCATATCCTAGCAATACAGCAAAGAAAATAAATGTGCTGCATATGGTTGTTATAACCGGAAATACGTGGTTGAAAATGGAGAGAAAGTAAAGAGAGATATTCACTTTTTGAATTTTTCAAAAGATCCAAAAGAGATAGCGATTTAATGTAACAAGATAAAAAGACAAAGATGGCTTCAAAGTTACAAGTAGTGTCTTATGTGATAAACATTGTATTCATTGTATTCTTGGAATAACTGGAATCTTGGAGGTCCAGTGAGAAGGTCTGTTGTAAGAAAAGTTCACTGTGATATTTATGATCAAAACCCTGCATCTGTCGAAAAGTCGGCAGCTGTTCAAGAACCTGATGAGTCTTTGAAAGATTTTAAGAGGAATGAGCTAGAGTAACAAAACACAAAACTTAGAGAGGAAAGCAAAGAAATTCTGAAAACAAAGAATGAGCTTCGGTGTGAGAATGAAAACCTAAAGGATGAAATTAAAGATGTCAAGGTGCAGCTACAACTAATGACAGAAGACAGGGAGGTATGCGATTTGTTAATTGACAAGACTTAAAGAAATGATAAACTATGCTGTCAATTTACTGGGTTTTCTACTTTGAAAAGAATGTAATCAACTTTTGATTTTTGCATCGCAGGACAAGATAGGGAAAACTCGTGATGCACGCATCAAAGACAGCCAACATTAAAGCAGGATGACCAAGAGCATTGAGTCCTTTTGTAGGATACATGTTGACCCTTTTCAAGTTGTGGTAAAACTTTTCCTTTGAACATTTGTCATTCCTGTTTTAAATTGGAGTGTCTACCTGCAATAAAACATTTTTGATGTTGATTATTTTTTTGTATTTAAGGCTTGGCATGATATGTATATGGCCATCTAGACAAATGTTGCAGCAAACTAGGGCCGAAACAACGGAAGAAGAATTTCCCAACACAAAAGTCATAATGCTCAGAAATCTTTGTTGAATGCCCAAGTAGTCTCCGTCACCAGAAGATACTATATTTATCTTATAAAAGGCATGTTACGCTGAAGATTCTATTTGGTATTATTCCAGGTGGTGGCTTCTCATTTATAAGTGCATGCTGAGTAGGTAGCATATCAGACAGAGAAGCATGCATTAGAAGTGGTTTGCTTGTAAAAGAACTATGGGGACCAGGTGATGCTATAATGGCAGACAGAAAATTCACAATTTCAGACTTTTTGGAACCATTGATGTGGAATGATGAGAACAACTATCTACTTCAGAGACAATAAAGAGCCAACAAATTGCAGCAGACCACATAGATGTGGAGAGAACAATTGAACGCTTTAATTATTTCATTGTTTTAGATTCAATTACACCAATAACAGTGTTTGGAAAAATAAATGAAATTGTAACTGTTTGTGGCCTACTTTGCAATTTTAAAGATCTTATAGTATCAAAATGATACATTCTTATAGTATTGTATCAGTTTTCTTACATTCTTTTTTTAAGAAAAAAGGGAATGCTGCAGAGATTAATATAACTTGAAACATACATATTTTCAAAAAACACATACCAGGCAATTGTTAAAATGAAGGCTGCCATTAGCTAATGAAAGTAATCATGCATAGTGAGAATTCAAAATGCCCACATCAAACGGAAGGCTTGCATATAAAGGAATCATGAGGTTAAACCTTGCATATAAAGAATGTTTCAGCTACAAATCTACAACATTAAGATTAAAATTAGACATTTGAAGCCAAGGGAAAGAAATGCTTAAAACAAAATTCAGATACTCTTTCTAGCAGTACTTAAAATGATCCTTACCAAAGAAGACTCTGTCAATGGCCATCCCTTTAAAAGTATGTACAATAAAGTCACACCAAGGTGCCTCTGTGAGCCCCATTTGTCAAAATATCTACATTCTTTGCGTAATTTGAAAGATTCCCCATACTTGACAACACAAAAATCTTTCACAGCTACTGCAGTGTCAGCAGAATCGCATTCCTTGTACTCTTAAGGGCATTTGACCTCAATTATTCCAAAATTATTACTCTTTCGGCTGTCAGAATCCTTACCATCAGGTGTGGCAGCAAATGTAAAATTTTCAGGAGATATCCAAAGTCGATAATTAGAAATAGTTACTGGTCTATTGCTTAGTTTCATGTAGTTCTCATAAGCTGCTAGGGCGAATAGTTCAGTTTTGCACAATGCTGTTTATACTGACCAATGTAAAATGTGGCATAATTTTGTATCTGATAGACATTCTTCTATTGCCAAACACATGAGAGTGGTTTACACTGATAGACACCATTACTGATTTGGATGATCCCATTTTTAGATAAATGTTCTCATAAGCTGCTAGGGCAAGTGGTTCATAATAAATTTCATGGTCAAGATTACTTTGAACATAATTGTTTGGCTGGTCAAAATTTTGCTGCAAAAGCTGTTCTGCAAGCCGTTGGAAAGGTACAGATGTTTTGATTTCGATCAAATCATTACATTTGGACGCTGTAAATTGTAGCCCTCTCTCAGCCATCAAAAGCCTATTTTTGCTCTGCTCAAAAGTGGCTGCCTCAATTTCATTAGACTTCTCAATGTTGACTTTCAAAGAATCTAAGACAGCTACTGCTTCTCATCTGTAACATTGTGAACACATTCATCAATATAACTCGCAACAGGTATTGGCAGTAATGGGTAGCCAAAGGTTTTTACAGCAGTCTGAGGAATATCTTGAACATCAACTGTTGTGTAGACTTTAAACACATGTGGAAGATGGGCATAGTGGAAAGCAACAGGACTGTCTAATGGTATTGGACCATATTTTGTAGGCACTGAGCTGTTGTAATTATTAGCCTGTATCAGACTCAAAGCAGAAATTGCTGGATTTTCTGACCTCATATCATTTAAGAATTTTTCCAATCTTTCAGAGTCAACAACTCACACTGCTTCAGCTCTAGACTCATACATTTTAGAAGATATTCCTGATTAAAGACTCAGCACCATTCCTAATGCAAGAAGACAGTGGTTCATCTGAATACATTAGAATACATCAAACCACAATCTATGTATGTCTCAAACATCTCAAATGTAAATATAATATAATCCTTATTTTTAAGCTAAAAAGCTAATTTAATGAGAAAAAACTAATTTGCAATCATTGAATCTTATTTTGAATCTTTATTCGGAATGAAATGGCAGTTCCTCCATTTTATAAAGCCAGGTTACTTAACTCATTCACTGCCATAGAAACTATAGTCGTCATCCCCTGCTAAACATTTGAGAACAATAGCGCCTGTAGTCATCACTCATTTTGTTCTGTTGTTTTACAGTAGAGACTACAGTTATTTAAAACAATGGTACTTTTACGAAAACCACATTTGATTGGCTGATACAAACTTTGTAGTCATTAAGGCACATGTTCAAGCATTAAAACAAAAAAAACAATATGTGCCCATGCTAACAAATCTTTAAAAGCATGTTCAAAGGTTTGACAGTTGACTTTTGCGTTTGCTGCCATACTATCCTTGAATAAACTATATATGAAGGAACTATGGCAAACTATTTTTCATTTCCTGTAGCGACGAAGAAGTTAGAACCGGTGGAGAGACCAAAGAAGCCAAAGAAGATGAATTGATGCATTGATGCCAAAGAAGAGAGCAATATAGACATCGATGGTTCATCAGCTGATTTGCTAAGCCTAAGTAACATGGAAGACAGTGAGAGGGGAGAGATCGATGAAGAAATCATCACAGAAGAGGGCAATTGGACAAGGAATTTGAAAGACATTGACAATTTTGTTGAGTTTACTTCATCAGTTGGTCCAGCAAAATCCCTGGGTGAAAATGGAAGTGAGATTGACTTTTTTGAACTTTGCTCTCCGAAGGTACCACATCAGCATTGAAACGAACAAATATGCTCTCCCCAAACAGCATCCTCCAATGGTTCCAGACAGCGACTGGTATCCATCAACTGTCAAAGAAGTCAAACTTTATCTGGGAGTTAGAGTTTATATGAGCATTGTGAACTTTCCGTCATTTGGGCAATATTGGAGCAAAGATATAGTATTTGGAAATTCCTTTATTTCAAATGTGATGTCGAGGCATAGATTCCAAAAATTAATGAATACTTTCATGTTGCTGAAAGGACAACGATGCGACCTAAAAGTTTGCCAGACTTTGATAAACTCTTTTTAGTGAGACCTAGCCTTGATGCTGTTCACAAAAACTGTTTGAAAGCATATAACCCACCTAAATGTTTTGCTGTTGATAAGGCCATGATAAAGTTTAGAGGGCGTTCCAGCTTTGAACAGTATTTGCCTGCCAAACCGACAAAATACGGCATCAGATTAGGAATGAGAGGAGACCAAGTGAATAGGTACTGCAATGATATTCGTGTTTATCCAGCAAAGATATAGTATTTGGAAATTCCTTTATTTCAAATGTGATGTCGAGGCATAGATTCCAAAAATTAATGAATACTTTCATGTTGCTGAAAGGACAACGATGCGACCTAAAAGTTTGCCAGACTTTGATAAACTCTTTTTAGTGAGACCTAGCCTTGATGCTGTTCACAAAAACTGTTTGAAAGCATATAACCCACATAAATTTTTTGCTGTTGATAAGGCCATGATAAAGTTGAGAGAGCGTTCCAGCTTTGAACAGTATTTGCCTGCCAAACCGACAAAATACGGCATCAGATTAGGAATGAGAGGAGACCAAGTGAATAGGTACTGCAATGATATTCGTGTTTATCCAGGAAAACCCACAGGCAAAGAGCCAGAAAAAAATCTTGGTCAGAAGGTGGTGAAGCAGCTTACAGAAAACATTGAAAACAAGGGACACCACAGTTGGACAAGGGACACCACACCACACTGACAACTATTTTACCACTGTTGCAGGGTCTGAGGAACAGTTTGATAACGGTGTTTATTTGTTTGACACAAAAAACAAATACAAAAGAGCTTCCAGAAGAAATGAAGGGGAAAAAATTTGCAAGGAAGCTGGATCTTACATCCAGTTTCAAAAAGGGGCATCACAGGTTCAGGAAACAGAACTGCTCAAAGAACCATCACCTAAATCAGGCTGAGTGGCAATCAGTTTTACATGAATTTGTGTTTGCTCTCAATACCATTGTCAGTAAGGCTACTAAATGCGTACCTTCCTATTTTTCGCCACACCGCCGTACTCCCTCAAGATATTGTTTTTCAGGGAGTTACTATTGACAAACACAAACATTTAACAGTGAGAGATTATGGTGAAGAGGCTAGTTTTGTTTTAGCTGATGTTTCCAAACAGATCGTGAAGTCATTGGAATTAAAGAAACAAAAAATGCACCAATACCAAAAGGACAGCAGGTATGATTAAAGACAAAGTGGGTGAACATAAAAAATTACCTCCTTGTTGTACTGGTCCGTGGACAATCATTAGCTCCCAAATCCAAAAGAAGCTCCCAAATGGTGTTGATTTTCAAATCAAAAGCATCACAATGAAGCAAAATTAGTTCATCACGATAGACTCTCCCCAGTAATTTCCAACAAGTTACTGTCAGCAGACATTGTTCCAGTGTCACGCCATTCTGAGAGAGATGAAGACACTCTACCCTGCTCTTATGATTATTCTTCAGATAACAGCATGTTCTCAGATTCGGATTCCCCTTATTCAGCTTCTGAAGACGATGATGTTGATGTTAATAGAAGCCAAGATAACAATCTATGTTATCCTAAACGAATTTGGAAAACAAGACTGTTCCAAGGATGCCTTCCTTGGACTGTATTGACTCTATAATCAAATATAGCCTGTGTGGTTTTTAAATTTTCATTATGTTCATTGTTTTGTTAGAGAGGGGGAATGTTGGAGTCTGGTGTTACTCCCTGACGCCTATATATATATTTTTTAGGGCTAAAGCAGAAATCACTATCTCGTCCAGTTTTCTCACTTTATTCTCAATTAGTGACTTAAGGCGCCGAAATCACAAGCAATAAGTTTTTCCTGGTTCATCGTTTATAAAATCACTTATCAGAGACAGGGGTTGGAAAATTAGCGACTTGCCAAAGCCAATGACATATATTGAATTTCCCATTAAGAATGCTGGTTCAGCATTACACAAATTTTTGATTTGATTCTCGACCTTTTTGTGAGATTCTTTCTTTGTTTATGTGTGAAGAGCCCCAACCTATCCGAAAAATACAAAACCAATATTTACACCTACCATAGATCAATTACAACATACCAAAAAAAATTATCCCACATTAATGCCATCAAGTAACAAAAACTTAAAACTTAAACCAAAAACATAGTGTTCAATATTGAAAGGAATTATCGAATTTTTAGGCTCTATCTATTTGAAAGTAAATTTTCAGTCTTTATATATTTCAAAGCGGGTTTTCAGTTTCTATCTCTTCCAAAATTTAGCAAGATCAGAAATATTGTAATCTTTATTGTAATATTGTAATCCCCAGCTATATTGTAATCTTTAGGCCAATTGAATTCTCTGAGATTATACACACTGCATGTGATTCTTCTGGTCAATTGAATGTGATTCTTCTGGTTGTGTGTTTCTGCATTTGCTGAGAATTGAGTTTATCGCTGGCCATACTTTGTACAGCTTGTCATAGATGTTTCCTTTTTTGGCTGTTATCATTGAAATGCAGGAATCTTCTCAAATTCTCAAATTTGTAGGTAGTTTATTACTCCCATCATGATCAGAATTACAAAAAACTGCTCAGTTTCTTTTTCATCTGTGTGGATTGATCTTCCCATACATTGAACAGAATATAGATTTGTTTGTTCAGCTACATGGCTTATCAACTTTCTTTCAAACAATGAGTAGAAATACTTTACAGAAGATGGAATCTCATCTGGTGGAGGTGGGAAGGCAGAACCGCTATATGGTGAATCTACAGTAACTGGTTTCATATGCCTCCATCTGACACTATTTTTGCCATTGTCTTTTGCCTTTACTGTTTTTCTTGCAGCCAGTACATTTTTAGCCTGCGCCGCAGACCCAATCCTCCAAAGAGAATAGGGTCTGCGAACAATTGACCCAAAGCTTGTTCTGTTTGGCCTTAAAATATGCAAAGGCTTGGGAACTAACATGATAATTTATGCGCTCAGCGCTGCTCACCGCATTGTTGACCTAAACTTAATGGCGGCCGCAAGGGAGATCGACGTTTGTACTGTTTGTTTGAATGAGCTTGGCAAACCTCAAGACCGAAATCTTATAGTTGGGAAGACAAGAATAATTGATGATTTGAACAATCTGCCATTAAAAGTTCATCTTACTTCGGATTACATATGTTGAAGTTGTTTAGCATTGGTTAAGAAGCACAAAAATCTGAAACAACAGCTGTGGGATCTGGAAAAAGCATTGGACGCCCTGGTTAATGTGCGTACGACAGCTTTTGAGGAAACGTATCTCGCAGAGAGAGGCGAGGGGTCATTTGCAGTGAGAAGTAGCACGCCAAAAAAGCAACAAATGTTCTTGTTCCAGAAAATGCAGGTGAAGTATCAGGGCCTAGTAGTAGTTGCAATGCAACTGCACTGGGGGGCAGCACTAGAGTCACAATCACAGTCCAATGGCCTTCAAAAACAAAGCAAAAGTCACTTGAAGGGGGTCTAGCTTCTATTGGAAAAATGCTCTGCAGAGGAACATTATCGCAAATTGCCAGATCAATATGGAGGTGTAAACCTATTAGAAAAGACCTGGTAAAGGAAATAGCTGGGGAAATCAACAAGGAGTGCATCCAGATGTGCCGAAAATCAGAACCCAGTTGTCTTAGAAGAACAGGACCTGAAGATATTGCTTCATTCTCCTTTGAAATGCTCAGCAAAGAACTTGATGAGCATGCCCCAATTACGAAGACAATCATGATGGCAGCATCAATTTGTAAAGAAAAGAAAGGTGATGATGAGAATTGGATTAATGCTGTTTGTGTGGCAGCATCCATATTGCTTCGAAATCGATCCCAACAAATGAATGCATTCCAGCTGATATTGTCAACTATCCTAAAACACTGTGGTTTTTTGGTAAGTTATTTTTATTATATATGCTATTATTATTATTTTGTTTTATTTTTTTCTCAGTTTTTTCTTTTACCTTACGATTGTTATAGTTTTTTCTTGTAAAACCAGGCTAGCCAATTGCAAATTACCTTGTAATAGTGAGATTTTTAATTGTAGTTTAAGTTGAATTGAAAATGAAATGTTTCCATTTTCATTATAATGTACATTTCTTTATTCCAGGGTATAATGGGCAGACTTCAGATACTGAGACTTATGCCATCACATACTCAGTTTTATCGAAAACTTCAGGCTTATGGAAAAGTCCATGACAAAATACTGAAAGACATCATTAGAAATGAATCAGAGAGATTAGAAAGTACAACTATGAGAGAAGGTTGCAGCTTACAAGAGAAAAATAAGAGCACAGTAAGCCGTATTGAAAAACACAAATTGTCACAAAAAGAAGAAAACGATAATGAAAATAAAATTAAGGCAGTGAAAAGAATAAGAGAGTCATTGCAGACAATTGAAGACGGGAACGATAATGGCTCATTTGAGCCACCAATTAGTGCATTTGCCAAACACAAGGCATTAAGATTAAAAACTATCCCAGTAATTAGTGAACCAGAAGTCATTGTTTCGGAAAAAGCAAGTGAAGTAGTGCTGAAAACTAATGTTGTCAAAGAACCTTTAAATATTAGATGTGACACAGGAAGAAAAATTGTTCTGGATAACATTGATTATCACCAAGTTACCCATGATATGACTGAAGAGCATAAAGATAATGATGTGCATTATTGCAGCCACATGGCAACTGAAAATAGAATTTCAGGTTGTCATCTTGATGATACAAAACCTAGAGGGGATTTAATGTCATTGGAAAATGGCATATTCAGCCCAAGCAAATGTGAACACCAAAGTCAGAGAGAGAACTACATTACATTGGTATCTCGGTATATCACAGATGAAATAAAATGTTTGGAGTTCTTGCAATGTGTTGTTACAAGAAATATACCACATAGATATACAGAGAAGACCAAACAAAAACAAATACGGTATGTGAATATAATATTTGATAATGTCTTTTCTGCTGATACCTTTAAAAGCAAATACAATGCAGTGTCAAATAGATACAGTTTCAACTAAATATTCATGTACATGCCAGAAGGCACATATGTATTTTAAAAGTGATAAAATTATAGAAAGTTAGGTTTTATTTGTTCCTAGCCTCCCCCAATACTTGTCCTTTACAATTTTTGGGTATAATAATAACAAAATTGAATGAAATCTTCTTAAAGGAAAATTTGTTAATTAGATAAATAGATTTGACATGAGAGTATCTTGAAATAAAAGATATCATTCTGTTTTCAAAGCCTAAAATGTTTTCAATGCTTTCAATGCTTCTTTCAGCTGAAAAATAAGCCATAATAGTTTGAACACTATCATTAACAAAGTGTTCGCTGCACGTTTTGTTATTTAACATTATGGTGCTTTTGGTATCACCATTGAATTTCTTATTTAACACTCTTCCAAAGCATTCAATATGTAGCCCTCTATCTTCCAAAGCTCTTGAAAGTTGCTCTCAAGGATATTTTATTTAAAGGTGCGAAATAGAGCGCCTAGAGTTTCTAAGGGGCTCTTTTTATGGAGCACCTTCATTTTGCTTAGAGCAAGGCCTGCTTAGTATGTATGATTGAGAAAGGGAGGGACCAAAATTGACACATTTAGAGGGTTGTATGACCTTAATTATTGTTCATTGATTTTTATTTTTTCAAGACCTACCTTAATTTATGCAAACGAGAACACTTGTGATGGAATGGGGAAAATTCTTGAGACTGTACACCAATATGTGCCATGTTATGAAGTTCAAGGAGAGAAGCATTTTAGCAGCCAGGCAATTGTGGGTGATCAATTGACAGTAGAGAGAGGAGTAAATGGTTTGATGGATGTCTCAAATGGATTCACATCTGAGGAGCGTAGAGAAGGTCTTCATTTTGAGATTGCTGACTTTCATGGTGGAATAAAGTTCTTAGAGGTGATTATTGGTAATTAGAGTTTTATGTTGAAACCATCAGAATGGATTAAAATAGGGTGAGACAAATACTTATGGTAAAGGGGAGTTCTTATTTTAGTATATCTAATCTCCCCGATAAGTTGAGCACCCTAGACAGCAATATGATAATTAAAATTATATATATATATTCCTATATTCCTATATATATATATATTCCTTAAGACCTTTCTTTTGATATATTTAGTTATTGAAATCTGCATTCTGTATTTTCAATCTTACAAAATGACCTTGAAATTCAGCCAGGCTCAAAATCATGCTACATAAACCTTAAAAGTCTCTTTCAGGTTTGGAAAGAGCTTCTCATATGATGTATAATTTAGTTCCTGAAATATCTATTTATTAAAATTTGTGTTGAATTTTTCTGCAGCTCATATATGAGGCATTTTATTCCATCCATTTCAATCAGTCAAGTAGATAATATTACTACTTATTTTGATGAAGTATAACTAGTTATAAGAATGAAATAGTGTTCAACGAGATTGTTTAAACAATCGTGACGGTTATATGAACCAATCCAAATAATTTCTTATTTGACTAGTCAAGGACGCTTGTGATTTTGCATGAAGCATTAAAACTGGAATATGTGGATCTTAAGATCTGTTTGTA